CGAATATACTAGGAGCAATATGTACTGTTGCTTCCAACGGAATCCAACAAAAAGCATTTGGAATAAAACGAACAACTTCGGTCACGAGTGACCCAAGAGGCATCAATATCGCTATAATCCAATTGATCACAATCAATGTCCAATGAATCTTTTTGGTAATCAAAATGGGATATTTAGCTGCGAGAATAGTAAAGAAGAATCGTGACAATGTTTGCATAAGATATGAATAACTTATAGAAATTGGCGATATATATGAAAAATAAGCTCGCCATCGACAACTCATATCACTTGTTTGCCATGTTAAGAACATGACATGAAGATAATTATTGCATTGAACTACGTTGTAGAAAATTAATGCAACTGAAGAATTGCACATTAAGAGATGTCGACAGGTGTGAAGAGTTCTTTTTGATCGATAAACAACGATGATTATAAATATACCAATAATTATTGCAACCGAGGAGAAACAAAATGCAGTAGCACCGATAGGGTAAACATTTTGAATAATAAATGGACTATCGCCCGAGAAATTCATTATTTACCGGCGAATTCGGTATGATGTTACAGATCTAAAAAGTAAAATCTGGTATATTTAATCAACAAAACATTACATATTCTATAGTATCTATCTCCGTATCTCATTACTTTAAAAAAAAGGAAGCGGGAAAATTCAATGTTTTGATAGATTTCGATGTCAATGATAACGAACTATGCTATTGACTTTTTTGCCTTTGTTCCTTTGAAAAATTTTCTCAGTCGATCGCACTAGATCGCTTACAATCCTGATTATATGTATATATAATAAATGATTGAATAACATACTTCGTTGATCGTTAGGATCAATGTACTTTTTTTGAAATAGCTACAAAATGAAAGCCTTATCTAGCTTTAGTTATAGTTGGTTAGTCCCCTTTTATAATTCTAATATAAAATTTTATAGCAGATGCTGTGAATTCAATAGTGTCATTACCTTAATAAAATAAGAGGTTCAATATCTAACTACGTAGGCAGATGCGTTAAATGGATATCAAATAAATAATTTTCCTTATTCACCTACTTTTTAAGTGCCGTCAATTGCTGGCAAAGTTTTGTCTTTTATCCTAGATACTTAAATAAATATTCAATCACATTTCCAAAGTGTTTTTCTTTGATAAACGTCTGTTTCTAACTAGCTCAAGAAGCTTCGTGAACATTTTACATTAAACCATATGTTTTTCTTTTATAGAGCATTTTTATCTCAACAGAGAACATGAGAAGTACAAAACATTATTTTCTCGTCCATCTCATTGGTATTTTGCGCGTTTATGAACATCAAATGGTTTCTATTACATTTATTTATATTCATGATTTTGAGCTAGACTCTCCAAATACTTTCACTATACATGTAAATTCAATTACTTTCATTCAATCTTTTATTTATTGTTTTTAAGATTAAAAAATATTTTTGTTTGCATTTTAATGAGTAAATCATTTAAACATAAAATATAAGAAATCTAATTTCTTATTAATTAGAAAAAAAATCATGTCTCCAGTTGGACTTCAAAATAATTTAAATTATTTATTTGATTATTAATAGAAACCTATTATTGAAAAGCTTAGTTCATTAATACTACATAGAAAACATAAGTTTCTTAGAAAATTTCAACATATGAATGAATGAATTAAGTNAATATCTATCGTGAATGTAATCAAGTATATCATCAGTATGAATTTCATCAATATTTGCACCAGACATTTCAAATGAATTTATTAAATTTTTATAAATGTATGTTTCATTATCATTGGAATAAATCACAATAGTATGAGGATTATAATTTGATGGATTAAATTTAATTTGAGCATCTTTTATGTGAGCATTATCTGCAAATTCTGCTTGAATATCTTGTGGTGATGGAATGAAAATAACAATGAGAATTTGAATTAGAATTGGAAAGACGAAAAATGCCAGAAGAAAATTATATCGTCGACGTAAAATTTGCCATCGCTTAATTAATAATGCAAATAGACGAAACACCATTAGACGAAAGCCTTTTTCATATTCGTAATTATTATTAAACACTAAAAATAAACAATATGGAACGTTTTTTATCGATCATCTGTTAGTCGTTTAACCCAAAATTCGATTTTATTGCCTCGACTTAAATGAGGGTCATATGAAAAAAAAGTTTCTATGTCTGCTTGCCTGCGTCAGGGTCAAGGGTCAAAAAATCATTTTTTTTGAAAATGGCTAAAACTTCATAAAATATGGTTCGGGACGGGTATTGAGGCTAGCTGAGGGTTGGGGGTGAGGGTCAGGGTAAAAAATATTTCCTCCAGAAACGCTTTAAATTTAAAGAGAAGTCGCTTGGAATAGGTTTAACCGTTGACCGAACAACATTTTTATATCCTATAGATATACCCTTAGGCCTTAGCTCGAAATTTACTAATTCAGTAATTTGGCTAACTCAATACGGTATTCACGACACGTACGAGGACTAGTTAGATGTTCTCTCGTTTGAAAAGAGAACCGTACGAGAAAAAATACTTTGAATGGTATGTGTTTGTATCATCATTCAAGGTCAATATTCACAACAACTTTACGAATAGCGTGCGGAGATAGCTGAGACCGATCAGATGTCACGAGATGTAAGGCTGGGAAATTAGATGTCTAAGATACATGAATCAGGCATTAAATATTTTATATGCTTTTGTTGTATGCTCCTATCAATAAGGGCTAAGGTTGATACATCTTTTGAGAAGTTCTTATGACAAGAGTAGAATGAAAATAAAATCAGTCGAGGATCAGCGAGTCTGCCCCGACGGGCGCTACTTTTAGGTACCGATTTAAGAAAAATTCGTCCGGATTCAAAAATCATTCACATACTATCCTCTGTTATCGAAGAGCATAACTGAAACCTCAATATAATCGACACTTCGCCGACGAAATTCCTCAGAAAAACAAACTGGCCTCTGAATTTCTATTAATTCTGCTTATTTCTTGTTTGAAATCAGTTTGTTTTCCCTTCTGAAATTCTATTGGATAAAGATGAATATACAGCAATGATGCTCTGATATCGATTCTCTTACCATGATTAATTTCGATTTTATTGGATAGAATTGGATTTTCTTCATGTTCACAAAGTAATCTAATTATTTTTAAATATAAGAAAAATATTTGGTTCAGATAGAAAATCTCTACTTTAGAAAAACATCTTCAATTGTAATCATTGAAAATCCATAGTCTTCAATTCCAATATTCAATCTACTTTTATCCAATTTAGAAATTAAACGACCAACTTGTCTTGAGCGGTTTCTTTTAATACCGAAAATCATTTCTATTGGTGATTCTTTTTCTAGTATTACATCTGGTATATATCGTCGAACGAATTTCGTAATAACTTCACTTTCATAGTTTTGGTTTTTTTCAATAAAAAATCGATATTCAAATTCTAAATATATCAGAAAGAAATATAAAACGTATATTTAAAGAGGAGAGACCTATTTGACTTTTAAGAAAATCAGGTGTGCCACTTTTTTGAAGACGTCCATTCGCTATGAAAGCAATTCGATCAGATAAAACATCTGCTTCTTCAAGAAAATGTGTTGTTAAAATGATACATTTTCCTGCTTCTTTCATTTTCTGCATAATTGTCCAAATTAAACGGCGATTGTATGGATCTTAAAGAAAGAAAATATAAAAAATTTAGTTTTCTATATATTCAATTCGTTTACCGACGCCAGCTGTTGGTTCATCGAAGATAAGAATCTATTTAAAATATAAAATATTTTAAATAAAATTAACACCAATAATCTTACTTTTGGATCACCAAATAATGATATACCAATAGATAAACGTCTTTTCATACCACCGGATAGATTTTTTGACAATGTATTCCGATCTTCATTTAAATTAATTAAATCAAGAATTTTTTCAATCGATTCTTTTAAAAATATAGAATTCATGGAACGCAACTATATGATAATAAAAAGATACAACTCATATCGGTTTTTATTGATTTCTAACATACTTTTCCAATTAATTTTAAATGCTCTTCAACAGATAATTCATCATAAAGAATATCTAAAATAAGATTAATTTAATGTTTTTGAAAAATTTCATTTTCATACCAGATTGTGAACAAAATCCAACGAGCTTTCTAGTATTTTCATCAAACATCGAATTATTGAATCCATCAATTGTGATCGTACCAGATGTTGGTTGTGACATTCCTAAGATTCGATAACAAAAAAAACAAATCCTGGTATCTAGTAACTTATACTTACCAACAATTAGAAAGGCTATTGTTGTTTTACCTGCTCCGTTAGGTCCTAGTAATGAACATACTTCACCTGAATAAAAATCCAAAGATAAATCCGAAACTGCTACAAAATTTTTATATTTCTAAAAAAATAACAATAACAAATAAATAATTTTTCAAATTTTCTTTCCTTTTCATCAAACTTTTGTTAAATTTGAAATTTTTATCAATGGAATTTTTGTCTCATTCATTGAATATAATTCACTCGAATGACTCTTATTATTATCATTTTGAGTTAATTCTTCAATATCTGAATTTTTCGACGAACATTTAAATAAATAATTCCATGGTTTTGCAAGACCGAATTCTCCTGGATTAATCCTTTCAATATAGATCGATAATAATAAATAGAAAGCCGAATAAATTATCATTAGAAGCAGGCATAAACCAACGTATAGTTGATATGAAAATAAATTCGAATACAAATGTTTATATGTCATTAGTTCGGCTAAAGATAACGACGTTGAAATGTTGAACAAACATTAAATGAATCTTACTTGCTTTTCGCTCATATTGTAAAATAATTTGCACCGAAAATAATAAACCTAAATTTGGAAATAAACATAAAAAATATCGAATACCAACTGATGAGACATCTCGATAAAAATCAATGAATGTAATTATCCATAGAATAAAACCCATTAGTTTTGCTAATAACACTAAAAACACACAAATAAAAGCCTTGAGAAAATCTAGTTTTGTTCATATTAATCTAACCACGTTTAAATAACTGTGCAAAACAAATACCAAATGCGGAAAGTTCAATGGAATAAATAAATAAAACAGTCCATATTAGTGTCCAGTGTGTATTATTAAATATTGCTCGATCAATACTTGTTTTCTCTTGCTGAGAACTTGGTATTGACATGACACTCAGGCCAGTTGCAATTGAAATCAATATAATATAGATTAACATTGATCGGCACATCCATACGAAGTTATTTGTCCAAGTTTGAAGACCGTAAATACGTAAATATTCCTATTTACTTTCAAAGATACTTTCGCTAAATATTCAAAACCTTATTACTTTAGTTTTGTTTTCACGTTCTTCAACAATATAACCAATATTAATAATAAATGTTATTAGAAATATCATTGAAAAATATATTGGAACAAATGATTCATAGATTGAATTTAATTGATCATCATAAACTTTTGGACAACCAAAATGATTGAAAAAATATCTATTTTTTGTATTAAAATGTAAATGATCATTAATTAGAAATAAAATTCTATTTACATTTTTTGAAAAAAAATTTGTTTTATTCGTAACATATTCAATAATTGACATATCAATCGCATATTGAATACCAAGAAATCGATTTGTATAATTTTCAAAACCAGTCTTATCTTGACAAAAAGATTCAGGAGCTCGTTTCCATAAATATACAGATTTGGAAATTTTTATTGTTTGGGCACGATAATAGAACTGGCCATTTCTATATATAGATATATAGAAATAAATAGTAATACAATTATGAAGTTCTTACTCTGGCATGCGTAGAGTATATTCTATTTTATTGGGCATTGTTGATGGATCAGTACATAATTTGAGATTCGTAAAATAAGTAAAAGAAAATATGGAAAGTAGTGAAAAATTTCCTGTTGATAAAAGTGTTGGATCGGGTAGATATTGAACTAGAAAGAATAATTTAGCAAATCATTATCGATGACCATTCTATGAAAAACTATTTTTCAATTAGATCAATTTCTCTTCTCCAGAACGATTTGAAAGTTTTATTTTGCTGTTTTTGAAAAATATATTATAAACCACCAGCTGCCCAGGTCAACCAATCCGACGTTGGATTCGATCGGATCCGAGTATGGGATTTGTCGACCTGGGTGTATTGATTAAATTTTCTTTGCACGGTTAATTTATTTACTGAATTATATGAAAGATAAGAATAGAAAAATGACATACTTTTAGATGGAAAATCAGGTTTAAGTCGTCGAAGATTGTTTACTGCATTGTAAATAATAGTTTCTGTACATATATTATCTTTAATAAACAGTAACATTTTTATATGGAAATTATTTCATGTGAACAAACCTGGATAATAATACATTGTATCACCTGTTCCATTGGATAATAATGAATCTATTGGATCAAAACGAGGTATTTGATACTCAGAATTATATTTACGTTCAAGAATAAAACGCATAGCTGGTAAAAGTCCAATGAATACACTAGCCAATGAAATTTCAATAATTGTACGACCAGGATTTCGTATTGTTAAAAGAAATGTTTTAACAAATAATGATTGAAAATTATTTAAAAATTTTATACAACCACGATATTCCATATTATTAATCTATTTGTTTTCAAGGATGCAAAATAGATCAGTCAATATGTTATTTAAGTCTTTCTATACTAAGGTAAACAACAAAATATGCAAAATCAAAAATATCTACCATGTGCATTCAAGCGATAAAATTACAAAAAATATGCTATCTATTCATTTCATTTGACGATAACAGAACGATAAAACGAACGTCCGTATGTAATAAATACTAATGATTTTCTTCTTACACAAATATTCGATACAATTAACCCTTGTACAGCCAGCCATTTTTCGTTACTGTATCCCCCCCCCCCCCCCCTCCCCAACAGAATGGACAAAAATGACCCAGGCTGGTCGTATGAGGGTTAAAGAACCATTTCTAATATGAGTGTATCGAGAAAATTTTATAAGTAAATTTGTATGATAAGACAAAATAGTCTTTGAATTTTTAATTAAGTCAATCGAAAATTCTCCCATTGCTTAATTTACAATAGTCAATGGCAATTTGTTTGTGTCATCAGTTCGTAGCGAGCTTATTATTGCATATCATTCAAGAAAAAGTAAGATGACACAAGATTTCATTTTTTTTTCACATGACATATACTTAGAGTATACCAAAAATAACGAGATTTTCAAAAGAAAACAACGCAAAAACAAGCTAGACAAGATTTTATTTCATGAGATGTTCAAAGCAGTTCCCTTGATTATCTACGCGCAATTGCATCCGTTTCATCCACATATCAAAAGTTTTTTTTTATAGTCTTCTTTGCTAAATGAATCGATGATCACGGTTACGGCACGATGCAAAGAGTTCGAGGTGGTTTGATCGGTTAAATTCTGTTTGATTCGATCGAAAAACCAAAAATCGCACGGAGCAAAATCGGGAGAATTCGGAGGTTGTCGAATAATTTTGATACCTTTCGATTTGAGATAACACAAAACCTTTTTATGCACATGTGGCTTGGCGTTTTCATGATGCAGTTTTATCGCATGTGTACCGGATATTGATCTTTGCTTCCAGATTTTATCGATAAGAGGTTTTAAGCAATTATTGATATAAAAATGATGATCTCTTCTCGTTCAACGTGATGAATCAACACAGGTCCAGTTGTCTTGAAAAAGACACAAAGTAAAGTTTTCGGAGCAAAACGGCTACGTCGAGCGACAATCAGGGGTACTCCCCCGACTATCGCCATGTTTATTAATTAAATTCTTCCAAATTCTCCTTGCAAATCCGAACTCGTTCGATTGTGCCACGACTCATACCAGTTTCTATTTGAATTTCATCAATTGTAAGATGAGGATTATCATCGATAAGACCACGAATTTCTTCGATATTTTCAGGTGTAGTCTCGGTTACACGTCGACCAGGGCGGGGATGATCTTCAACCGCCTCCCGTCCTTCACGAAACCATTTTGACCATTTAGTAACTCTGCCATATGATGGAGCTTGATTCCCAAAAACAGAATATAATTCATCGTGGATGGTTTTCAGTTGAATACTTAGAGCAGTACGCACTTTAATATAAGCACGAAAGTTTTCTTTATCCGTGGCTATTGATAGAACTTAATGTATGATCGTTTTTTCTTATGAGATAATAGTCACTGACCATTGATGAAATAGTATCAATATAGAGGGTGCACTTTGCCTTATATATTTTTGAAACAAAAGTCTTTTTTCAATCTTTCTTTATTTTTTCTATAAAACAAAGGCTACAAATTAAATGATCAGTATTTTATCATAAATGATCGGTAACATTTGATCAGTATTATATTCAAATGATCAGTAAAAAATACGGAAGTATCAGTAAAATAATTAATGATCAGTCAATATTTCATTTGATCAGTAATTTATTCAGTTGATCAGTAAAATACTGAACTGATCAGTATTAAAAGTGATATACCAGTAAATAAACATATTTGATAAGTAAGTTGCAGTATAATGATCAGTATTTACGTTTCTGTGATATCCCTCGATTATCATATATATGCTGACCTACTTGTTTCCTTTCTTCTTTATTGACCTAGTTTCTATATATTACATCTATTCGATATCTAATATACATATGTAAGAGATAAACATATATCTAGATCATTGTTTTTTAGTTTCACAAAGAACTAAACTTCATAAGATAAACCTCGAATCATTGTTCTACTTATACCTATATAAATACTTCATTTTAAAATCAAACTAAACAGAAAAATCGTTCACTATATCATAACATTCAACTGGACCTGTAATGGCAACAACCACTGAAACTATCGAAGTACCATCTTACGTTTCCGATGAAGAAAATATAGATGACAGTGTTTATGCTGAACATAAGAAGAGAGCAGCAAAGAAATCACGAATATGGATCAAAGAAAAAACATTTAATAATGCTGGTGAAGCTGAACATGCAATTACTGAAGAAGGTGGTTGGAGTGAATTTTACACCAATACAACAGATGAAGGTAAAAAGACAATTTTCAGATGCAACAAAGTTAAACTTCGTGGAAAACAATGTGACGCCGGTATTTATCTTTTATTTAATTCTGCCAACGAAGAGGTTATTCTATTCCGCGATAAGTCAGATCATACACATGATCTAATACAACAAAATTCTACAAAAATTCCAAATGACATAAAGATGGTTATTAAAGAATTTTACGATTTAAAATTGAAACCGAAAGCTATCATTGAAGCATTGTATGAACGAGGAATTACAGCACCAAGTATTAGACAATTGAACAATTTCTTAAGAACATTAAAAACTGAAAGATTTGGTTCAACAAAAATAAGTCTTGGAGAAATTGAAGATTGGTGCATACAGTCAAGTAAAACAATTCCGGATTCGGATGATACAGGCTTTGTGGTTTCATATGAAATTATTTATGATGATGATAACAATAATAGTGTGGAAGATGGTGATCATGATGATGATAATGGAAATAAATTTCGATTTTTTGTTTCAACAAAAAGACTCTTACGTATTGCTTCAATGTCAAAGAAAATCCATGCAGATGCCACTTATAAACTTAATTGGCAGGGCTTTCCTGTGCTTGTCGTTGGTACGACAGATCTAGATCGACATTTTCATAGTTTTGGAGTTGCTGTTTGCTCGAACGAAAAAACTCAAGACTTCACATTTATTTTTCAAGCTCTTCAAGATGGTGTAAAAAAACTTGATTTACCTGAAATTGATCCAGATGTTCTCATCGCTGATGGTTCAGATGCAATTCGCAATGGATTTGAAGCAGTATTTGGTGAAAAATATACGGTAATGTGCTGGGCTCATATGCGACGAAAGGTGGTAAAGAAAATAGAAGCTATGGTAGAGGAGATAGATCGAGATGATCTAATAGAAGATGTTGAAGCATTACAGTTAGCACAAGGTGAACGGATATTTACAAAAGCCTCCATTCTATTTATTAAAAAATGGAAGAAGAAACAACCTACGTTTGTAGAATATTTTGAAAATGAATGGCTTGCTTCACACAATGGTTGGTATGAAGGTGTTCAACATTTAACTCCAAGTACGAACAATGCTTTAGAAGCAACTAACAGAGTTATCAAGGATGAAAATACGTTTCGAGAACGTCTTCCATTATCCAGATTCAAAGTTTTAACATTTGAAATTGTTGAAAAATGGTCAAAGTTGTACGAACGAAACCTCAAACAATTTTATGATAAACCAACTGTTACATTAGATATATGGACTAAAAGTTATCAATGGGCAAAATTAAACAAATCAATTTTATCAAACAAACTAGATGATGCTATGGAATATTACGTACCAGCTGGAGAAGAAGTGAGTATCTCAATAAATGCAATTGATATAGTGAAGAAAATGAAATGGTATTCTTTCGATCAATACAAAACTAAAGCCTTTAGCATCTGGCGTGTTGTTTTGCCAATGGATGGTACAAAATGGTTAGATAGTCAATGCAACTGTCCAGCATTTTTTAAAAAATTTATGTGTAAACATATCGTTGGGCTGGCAATTAGATTGAATTATTGCAAACCACCACCTGCTGCAAAAAGTGTTAAATTTGGAGAAAAAAGACGTCGAGGTCGACCATCGAAAGCTAAAAAAGCTTTGCTTATTCAATAGTATTTGTTGTCTTTTTTTGTAATTTTTACTGGTATAAATTGAAAAAATACTGATCGAAATAAATATATCTACTAATCGAAATTGAATTATATACTGATCATATTTTGATTTGATTACCGGTACTGTCAATAAAATATTGATCAAAAAACATATTTATACTGATCACAAAATACTGATCATTTGACGAAAAAAATACTGATCATTTCGAATAAAATACTGATCATTTAAATACAAGCCTAAAACAAATCTCGATACTTTTGGTATACCCTAAGTATCTATCTTGTGAGGGTGTGTGAGGGTGAGGGTGAGTATAGCTACCGTTATCATGAATTTATGCTATAAAAGAAAATTTTTGGCGAAATGTATGATTTATTCAGAAAAGAAATCGGTAGAAATACGTAGTGACAGTGTCAAATTAGTTTATTGGCTAGTTGGTTAGTGAGGTGAGAGTTCGTCAGAAATTTCTGTTTGTTTGTAACTGTTGCTTTACATTGCGATTGTTTTTGGTGCCAACAACCCGAGCAGACAAGAATTGCCAGACACGCGTGTAAATGCCCAAAAAAGCGTGTGAAAATTGAAGAAAGTGGGCGGGTATGGATCACTGGAGTCGGTTGAAATTGATGGTTCCATAGACGATGAATGTCAGTTTTGTAGCTGCTTAAGCGTTTCTCATGTGTGTAGTGAATGATTAGATTGTCGTCGTATTTGAATTGCTTTTCGTTTCGTCGGCTAAGATACAAGCAATGTTTTCATATCGAAAAGAGAATACTTGAATCGTTAGACTCACATACATGTAAAAGCCGAAGAGACTATTCGAGTTTTCAACTTCTAAATTTAAAATTCGAGTACTCGAGTTTTAAACTCTTAATTAATTGGCTATTAAATATCCACTAACTAAATGCTAATTATTAAACGATTAACTACCTAGCATCTACTAACTAACTGATTATCCTGAGGGTGCGGGCGTGGATGTGGGCATAGGGGAGGGTGCAACTTACAACGGCGGAGTCAGAGTCAATGTGAACAGGATTCGTTACCGTTAGTTGGCTGATAAGTGATGGTCATATAGTTAAATAAATTATTATGTCGTATTTAATAGTCAGATGCCGATTACTTGATAGCTCATTGATTGATAATAAGTAATCGGTTGGTAAATATTTGATTAACTGTTACATAATGGTTAATAGTTAGTCAGTCAAGGATTTAGGATCAATCATTTACGAGTTGGTAAGCGGAAAACTCGAAACTTCGAATTGTAGATTTAGAAATTTAAAAGTTTAAAAGTTTAAAACTCGAGTACTGGAATTCTAAACTGAAAGATTTAGAATTCGAATGAAAGTTTTAAAACTCGAATCGAATTAACGATTTCTACACTACTCATCAAAGGCAAAGGTAAACAGAAGTAGACAGTATATATTAAAAGCAAGAGAGTTTCTCTAAATGTCATATCTTTTTGGTAAGAAAAGTAAAATATGGATCAACTTCTTCTCAGTCAATACGCACACCGTGTGGGTTACATACTGTCAAATGCATTTTGTGATGGTTGTTATCATAGATTTGAAGATGGCGAGATGGGATTTCGATGCTTAGAATGCAGTGGTTTTGTATGTCCTAACAGTAATGAACGAACAGTTAGACAAATTGCATTAACAACTAATGTTAAACTTCAATCCGGAACAACACAAATGAATATGTCGCAAACAACGCCTTACACTGGCTATGATTTCTGTTTGGACTGTGCAAAGAAACCTTTCCTACATTCACATCACCATTTCACATTGACGACTTGTCGAAAATGAAGACTACTGCTTCTATTAAATAAACTTTATTTTATCTTGTCTTATTTCATGCGTTGCTTCTAAGTTGAAATCACTAAATCCTCTAATGTTTTCAAGCGTTAAGTCCCGAATCAAATAATTGTAAAACGTCACATAAATTCTTCGATAGCGTGGATCAGATTATTAACTGAGAGATAAAATATTTTCAATTTTCATTGGAAATTTTTCATGACAAAGACTAATAACACGAGAGACGATACTTTACTGGTATACAAATAATTATACGAGAACATATCGATACTGCTGTGAATATTATAATCATTATTGATTCGTTTCTTAGGCTCACTTTCTCTGTAAAACATCGATTTGTTTCTCTTATAAGAATTATGGAAACTGAATAGCTAACAAAACGCGTTCCGTGGAATAAAATGATTTGTCTAATCTCAATCCATGCAAAGCCCTGGTAAATATAATAGTAAAACGTTTGACAATAGTTGTAATAAAAACTTGTCGAGATTGTTCTCTTTCTCGTAGAGAAGAGTCTTAGAAACATTAATTGTTTGCTTGTATGTGCACAGAGTCAAAAAAACATCGAAAATCGATTTTTCCGAAAAGACATTTCCAGAGGTATTTCGATGCGGAGACTTCGAATCTGATGTTATTCTTTTGAAATTTTTCATAAAAAAAATTTTTTTAGGCAAAGAACCACTTTTTTACGAAAAACATTTTTTTAAATAAAATTTTACCAAAGAGTTTTTGGGATTAAGGAATTCAAATCTGATGTTAGTTTCTCGAAATGTTTTTATAAAAATTTTTGAGACAACGGACCGTTTTTTATAAAGACTGACGAAAGGGTTTTAAAGATCGAGGAATCCGAATTTGATGTTAGTTTTTTAAAATTGTTTTTATAAAAAAAAGATTTTTCAGACAAAGGGCCGTTTTTTACAAGAATAAAATTTGACTGAGTTTTTTGGGTCGATGCGCTCGAATCTGGCGTTATTTTTTTCAAATGTTTACATGGATGAATTTTTTTACATAAAGGGCGACTTTTCTGTAAAAAACAGCTTTTTCATAAAAGTTTACCGAAGAGATTTTGCTGCCGAAGAGGACAAATCTTATGTTACTTTTTTCAGAATTAAAGAAACTTTTTCAAACGAAGGATACCGATTTTCAGAAAAACATTTATAACTTGTTTACAAGTTCGGCCCTCTCTTGCTCAAGACGCTGAACTGAAACGTCTAGATGAACTTGAGGAAAAGACAAAATGAGAATGTACCTCTTCCGCTTTTTGAACGTGTATAAACCGATACACTGGTTAAGAGTTTAGTGTTATTACAAGCATATAAAATTTATTATCATTTTTCAAATTATCTCAAAATAATTATTTGTATATGTTCATTTTTTTGCCTCTTTCTTTACATTTATCTTGATTATTGTAGTAATCGTTTCTTTTCTCTCATTGTAGCACATATTTCCTATCGTGTTTTCTTATTTCCTTTTTTTCATGTAATAACTCATAATCTACTTAATTGTATTGGCACTTATTTAGAATATCTGGTTCTCAATTTGATATTTGGTATAAATATCTATTACTACTTTTGTGAAAATATCTAATCTACACTAAAAATAAACTAATATACACAATAATAGGTTTAAAGTGTAATATCTGAAAGCACGATTTATACGAGAAAGAGCTGACCAAGTCGCTAGACAAGCGTTACTTGTATATAGATTATATTATTACAAAGTTACTTTTCAGATGAATAAAAATAGCAAAGAGAGCGACAGCAAAGCGCATAATAGTGACATACAAGCATTAGAACATATTACGATATTTAACATCAAATATTGCGTCCAATAACGGCGATATACGCTGTTTTGACGATATAACGGTGTTACTGTAAAAAATAGAGCGACATGGGTCACTATTGTCGATACAGTAATCCCAAACTTAAAAAACTCAGTGCGAATATCCATTCTTTATGCATAAACAAGAATAACAGTTCCATTGGTGTATTCGCATTATCATACAACTATGCTCTTTCACTTGGTAGAGGTGATCTTCGAGAAACAAACATCGTACGAACGACTTTATAAAGTTCTCGATCAAGAAAAATTGTACATATTTGAACAGCTGCAGTACCAAATGGCCATGCCAGTATTGTAATTATATAGAAAAGATTCATTTTAGTAAATATTAATATAACATTTGGTATACCAGTGATTAAAAATATGCCAACCGTAATTAAGATATTTCGAAGTACTCTCATTTCCATTTGACTATTATTGCGTGAGTTCGCATAATTTCTTACAGTTTCTCGACTTCTTTTCATTCGATAATAGATAAAAATATACATGCCTACGGCTGCTAGAACTGGAAAAACATAATGACCAAATATACTAGGAGCGATATGTACTGTTGCTTCCAATGGAATCCAACAAAAAGCATTTGGAATAAAACGAACAACTTCGGTCACGAGTGACCCAAGAGGCATCAATATCGCTATAATCCAATTGATCATAATCAATGTCCAATGAATCTTTTTGGTAATCAAAGTGGGATATTTAGCTGCGAGAATAGTAAAGAAGAATCGTGACAATGTTTGCATAAAATATGAATAACTTATAGAAATTGGCGATATATATGAAAAATAAGCTCGCCATCGACAACTCATATCACTTGTTTGCCATGTTAAGAACATGACATGAAGATAATTATTGCATTGAACTACATTGTAGAAAATTAATGCAACTGAAGAATTGCACATTAATAGATGTCGACAGGTGTGAAGAGTTCTTTTTTGATCGATAAACAACGATGATTATAAATATACCAATAATTATTGCAACCGAGGAGAAAAAAAATGCAGTAGCACCGATAGGGTAAACATTTTGAATAATAAATGGGCTATCGCCCGAGAAATTCATTATTTACCGGCGAATTCGGTATGATGTTACAGATCTAAAAAGTAAAATCTGATACATTTAATCAACAAAACATTACATTTTCTATAGTATCTATCTCCATATCTCATTACTTTAAAAAAAAGGAAGCGGGAAAATTCAATGTTTTGACAGATTTCGATGTCAATGATAACGAACTATGCTATTGACTTTTTTTGCCTTTGTTCCTTTGAAAAATTTTCTCAGTCGATCGCACTAGATCGCTTACAATCCTGATTATATGTATATATAATAAATGATTGAGTAACATACTTTGTTGATCGCTAGGATCAATGTACTTTTTTTGAAATAGCTACAAAATGAAAGCCTTATCTAGCTTTAGTTATAGTTAGCTAGCCCCCTTTTATAATTCTAACATAAAATTTTATAGCAGATGCTGTGAATTCAATAGTGTGATTATCTTAATAAAATAAAAGGTTCAACATCTAACTACGTAGGCAGATGCGTTAAATGGATATTAAATAAATAATTTTCCTTATTCACCTATTTTTTAAGTGCCATCAATTGCTGGCAAAGTTTTGTCTTTTATCCTAGATACTTAAATAAATATTCAATCACATTTCCAAAGTATTTTTCTTTGATAAGCATCTGTTTCTAACTAGCTCAAGAAGTTTCGTGAATATTTTACATTAAACCATATGTTTTTCTTTAATAGAGCATTTTTATCTCAACAGAGAACATGAGAAGTACAAAACATTATTTTCTCGTCCATCTCATTGGTATTTTGCGCGCTTATGAACATCAAATGATTTCTATTACATTTATTTATATTCATGATTTTGAGCGAGACTCTCCAAATACTTTCACTATACATATAAATTAAATTACTTTCATTTAATCTTTTATTTATTGCTTTTAAGCTTAAAAAATATCTTTGTTTTCCTTTTAATGAGTAAATCATTTAAACATAAAATATAAGAAATCTAATTTCTTATTAATTAGAAAAAAAATCATGTCTCCAGTTGGACTTCAAAATAATTTAAATTATTTATTTGATTATTAATAGAAACCTATTATTGAAAAGCTTAGTTCATTAATACTACATAGGAAACATAAGTTTGTTAGAAAATTTCAACATATGAATCAATGAATTAAGTTCATTTGTGTCATTATGATAAATAAATGCGAAGACATCGGACTTCAATCCGAGCGTTATGTGTACTTCAAAAAGCGGAATTACATGTCCATTCGCGCACAAGTAGCGTTCGTCGTGCCGACTCACTTCACCCTCGACTGTGGAAGACAGATATACTGTCTGCGTGTGCTATTAATGAGGCGAATCGATCTAGCAACTTCACGTACGATGAAACGGNTTTTAGATCTGTAACATCATACCGAATTCGCCGGTAACGCTGGTCGGGTACTCTCGCTGAACGCTCGGCTGATTTTCTACCCATTGTACTCTTGTCATTAGAACTATACAAAAGATGTTCAATGCATGATTCAACCATCCTAGACATCAAATTTCACAGTCTGATATCGCGCGCTAGCTATCGATCCATTTGATAATTTACAACAATTATCAATCAGCCCCATCAATCTCCACGCGCTATTCGTGACGTTTCTGTCATTTTTTTGCCTTCAATCATGACACAGATAGACACCATTCAAACTACTTTTTCTCAAGAGACCATGTAACGAGTCTTCGTCCATGTTCCCAATACAGTATTCGCTTAGCCAAATTGCCGAGTTAGTAAATTCTTAGTTGATACCTCAAGTCATATCTCGACGCTATAAATATCTTCTTCCGTCGACCATAGATTCGATCGGAAAAGACTACTCTTCAAATGCCAAATATGTCGAGAAAACCGGCTTTAAACCTTTGACTTTTGGCGCTTGGCTCTCGCCCACGTTTTTTGCCACAAACAAACAAACAAACAAACGAACAAACAATTTTTTTTCATATGACCCTCCTTACAGTCGAGGGAATAAAGTGATTAGAACACCTAGAAAAGATAGTACAAATACTAAGAGGATGATCACATGACCTGGAAAAGATAATACTAGTACAGTGTTCAGCACCAAATAAAGTGCGTACAAGTGATGTAGGGTTACGCAGCGGATCGAGTCTCCTCATAAACTAACGAAAAGTGAAGATCATAAGTGGTTTGCGTAAAGGAAAAATAAACAATATTATAATATATACCTACACATGCAATATAAAAAGGGTTTTTTTCGAAAACCCCTCAGAGGAGGCTCATCCGATTTGGCATCGAGTTTTATCATTGGAAAAAAGTTTTCATTCGATTTGACCGAAAAATGGATATGTTATATCCGAATGACCTCCCCGATTTCCTATACTGTCAGTAAAGTGAACTTTTCTCCACAAAGAAAAAAGCTCAAATCAAAAGCGATGCGTAGTCTTTTGGAGGATGGTATGAGGGTTAAAATAACAAAAAACAAATTGCCCCCTCCTCCCACCTCTCTACAAAACTAGATAGGTTTACAAGATCCACCTATCAGTACTGAAGTGGAAGCTATGAGAAATACCACTATTATAAAAATTTTTGGGTTAATACCAATTTCAGACGTTTTTTAGGATCAGTTTTTGATGTTGAATCTAGAAGAAAAGTTTTCAAGAACAGGAACATGGTGATTTTTGCATCTTACCCTCAAAAACCTGGTTTTCGAGAAAACTCAGGTTTCTGAGGGATTTTGCGATTTTTGACTACAAAACAGCTTCAAAATAGAATAAAAAGTAGCTCGTCGTGATCAGGAGCTCGCGCTCTATCGAACCATGTGCAAAAAAAACAAAAATGAATTTCACTGCATTTTTGCATTGCGTGCACCTTATACGTCGAATTAGGCAACTCATGAATTTAATATGGTATTACTCGTAAAGTTGCGAAGATTAGTGTGTTTCAACATCACAAGAAAAATTTAACGAGTAGAGTAAAGAAGAACAGAGTTTTTCATTGTATCGGATGTTTATTTGAGACAAGTACGCACAACATCGAAAACTAGCTACACATCAGTTTAGAACTTTAGTTGAATTATATTTGTTGTGGAGGGGCGATTTGATTTGAAATTGGCTTTTTACAAAGTAAAAATAGAAGATTTTCGCGAAATATACGAGAACTACACAAATATGTGTAAAACGACGAACTGTGAATAATAAAGCCAACTAATAGAAATGCACTGTTGACAAGAGTGTCTTGCGCTATTTCAAGTGCATTCCTTACTACGTTCATTTGATACAGTGCATAACTGCGTCTTGATGCAAACGCTATTGCTGCTATAAGAACCATTATAATTTGTGCAAAAATTAAACGAGTTAATGTTTGTTCTATCATTGTAGCTCGTACCAATTTCTTTCGAACATTTCTCCATGTGAGTAAGGAAAATAGCGATAGAACAACGATTGGAATAATGCTATATGCAACTAATCCGCTATACGTATCATATTTTCCACCGAAAGGATCAGTCACACCACATTGTGTCTTATTAAGTGAATTAGTTATATGTTTATAAAATACCAAATTTGGAACAACTATTCCCATACAAAATATGACAGCACATATACTCATCAGCAAGGCCCGTTTTCGATTGATCCACCGATGGTGTCGAATGTTATGAGATGTAAGAAGATATTGATTGATAGCTGCCAAACATAAACAATAAAGTCCGATAGTGGCACTACTGCTTCCAATAAACCATCGTAATTTACAAAGAATAAGATAGGTAACAAGTGGATCAACTCCACTAAGTTG